CAGCACAACTGGGTCCTCCGCTGCCATCACCGTCGACTCCCAGTACTGTGCCGCCGCCGTCTGCTCCTTGGGCAACTGCCCCGCAGCCTCCTCGAACGCCGCCCCCTTGATCAATGCTGCAAACGCCCTCAGGTGAGGGGCGTGCATCTTCACCCTCGTGAACTCCTTGCCCTCCTTCTCCGCTGCCTTCTGGAGCTCGCGTTGCTGCTGGGCCTCCGCGTTGAAGCTCTGGCCCTCCTCGAGCATGAACTGCACCGTACGGCTGTCGAGCGGCAGCAACCAAGTGTCGTACACCGCGCCGATGAGCGCTCTCAACTCCGCCTCGTCGTTGAGCACCAACTTTGCCAAACCAATGACGAGCTCGTCCAGGTTTTGCTTCTTTCCGCCACGCTGGGCCCCATGACGAGCTTCTTGCGCGCCTCCCCCTGCTGGCCCGACGATGCGACGCACCTTGCCGCTGCTCTCGTCCGTGTTGCGCGTCATCCACTTGGGGACCGCCGCCGTCGTGTTCGGCATGGCTGGAAAGGTCGACTGGGCCCGACCGCGATACAGCACGAGCTCGCTGCGCTCGCTGCTGCTGAACACTGGAACGTGTAGCTACAGTATCAAGAACTCGAGGAAGATGACTACGGACATGTTGATGAAAATCATATGTGTCCGATGCGTGATATTCGCAGAGGGGGCAAGCCAAGTCAGTAATTTGAGACCGAGCAGCCTGAGACTTTCCACCCCCAGCAATACAGTAACCCCTGTTCATGGAGCCCACGAGGTGCCTGCTAGCCGTGATCACCCCCGAGAAGATCCCCTGACAGTTTGGGCACTCGTTAGTGCGGCATAGAACATGCCCCAATGAACGATACTGCTGATGGAATCGTAAATGGTTTAGCGCAGACTTCTTATCGGGGAACTTCGCATCGCATCGAACTCGACGACCAATAGTATCGCTAGGATCGCATCTATGCTCATATACACCACAGACCCATTTCACAGCACCACCCTGAACGATCTCAGTAGATAACATAGCACTAAGTTGAGGATCGTACTCAGGAGGAGGAATCGCCACTGTATGAAGTCGTCGTCGTAGGAGAGAGAAATCAATCTTACAGAACGCTTTTCCAAGCTCCTTATCCCACCAAAGCGCGAGAAACGAGCCCTGCAGACGTTCGAGCAACTCTCGACCGTCCTCGACATCCTCCAGTGCCTGCACATCTTCAAAGAACTGCTTCGCCCAGGGGTTCGCATCGGCGGTGAGACGACCCCTATCATCGTACTGCGGACGATCGTCCACCTCCAATTCAGCAAAAAGAGCTGCCAGAATCTGGGCATGCCGCCCAGGATAACGGATGAACTGCACGAGCCACCCCAAACGACGGACCTTGAGTTCGATGAAGGCAGGCGTAATACGCCAATGATTGAGCACCTGCTCATTGCTGAGACTCTGAACATGTGTAGTGCCCTCATAGCTAGCCCCTCTCATAGCCACTCTACAATATCTTACCATAAGAGAATCCAACTTCTTACATAAACCCTCCGTCACCAAGTAGGCCTCCAGGTTCTGGACCCCCGCGCTCTGGACCCCCAACAAGACCGAGCGTTTCAACCGAAACGAGATGCCAGGAGTCGACCAGAAACTTCCCAAATAATGAAACGAACTTTTGATCGCGTTCAGGCGCTTGTTAACCTCTGGAGTGATCGAGCCCATGGAATGAATCTCCCCACCCGGACCCCAGATAGACGGACTGACTCCACCTTCAAAAAGTTCAGACGCAGAGGCTCGTAATCGACGATTCGCGGCGACCGAGCCCTGGCCAGAGAGACAGACGATGGTGTTCTGCTTGCTCCTGTTCTGCGCCCATCCCCCTATCTTAAGAACCTCGTCCAAGAGTTGATTGGAGTAAAAGTTGGCGGCAGAAAGCTCTGCCAAGCCCGCGTCACCACAAGAGGCCTCAGGACCTCCACCTACGTGCAGCTTCGTGAGATCGTCGGCATACTTAGTCAGGGATAAATCTACCAACATGCCTGTAATCGGACAAGTGGCTGCGGGAAGCGCCTCCGAAGGCATCTGGGCATACAACACCTCACCCCATTCACAGACAGGAATCTCATAGGCTCTGCCAAAGCTCTCCACCGCGTAAGGATCTCCCATGAGCGCTCCGCATCTAGGCTTTACAACTAGAGCACGATCACGGGCAGGAAGACATATCGATGCCGACTCGAATCGGTCGCGTCCAAACTGACGACCAGGAAAATCTAAAAGCGCAGAGTTCGCTTCCTCCAAGAGACTCCAAGACGTACTCGGGAAAGCGTTGCTAAGGTCCTTGTTTGACCACGTAAAACTGTAACCTCCCCGTCGCAGACGATGCGAAACCAACATCATCACCAGCATGGCCCCCTCCTTACGTCTCCCCTTGCAGAACCCATAGTCGTTGGGACCTAGAGCTACAGGATTGTTCCTCCGAATGGCCCCAGCTAACCAAGCCTTGCCCAGCGGGTCCAGCAGGTGGATGACTCGTTTCCCCTTGGGGCCAGGGGTGGCACTCTTCGGTAAGGCGCAGCCGAAACTCCTATTCCACAAGGCGGGGAACCTGTTCGCAAGCCGAATACACTGCAAACCACGAGAGAGTGCCTCCTGCAACGGTTCAGGTTGAAACTCGACGGAGTATCCAACTCCTGAGAAACTCTTAGAGAGTCCAAAAACAGGGTCCACGATCATGCCCCAGATCTCAGCTGGTACACTCCACGACGGGCACGATCGACGTTTGGGTGCGTGACGCAAATACTTAGTAATAGATAACAGATCCGTAGTAGCCTCCACATTGAACATGCCCAGGTACCCGTTCACCCCCTCCTCCAGCTCCTCCCCCTCCTGGTTGATCTCGATAACCTCCATGCCTCCCTGTGGTCCCTCCTTCTCCCAGACCTCCAGCCATTCCTTAGCACTTAGCGAAGCACCCCCTAGATGGCGATAACTACGACCACGGGGTCCACGACCCTTGCAGGCAAGAACTCGGATCAAGCGATGGGCTTCTTTGTGATTTCTTTTCCGCCAGGCCTCCTCCAACTCCTCCGTAATGTTCCCCCTCCACTCCCTGAACAGCTGTTTCCTCTGCTGCTGACACTGCTTGCTAATCGCTTTGAGCTGCTGAACCACCTCCTCCTCCTCATCGCATCCAGCTTGGGCGAGACGACGGCGAATCTCCAATCGCCTTTGAAGAAGAGTCCTGCGCGCCCTGGCCTGCTCACGGTAGGCCTCGGATGCGTTGGGCAGCGATCCACAGAAACATCCCTTAGCCTGCTCACGCACAAGGTCATTCAAGATAGTAAAATAAGCATCTGGCCTTCCAGCCGTGGCCGCCGAAGCCAGCTCGGACTCACGCTCTTGCAACTTGGCAGCCGCCCGATTGAGGAAGGTCTCGCGCACAGAGGCATTCTTCATGGTATCGAAGTTCCAGTGCAGACGGTTTCTCCCCAACTGTTCGGGCTCGACAAATGACCACTTCAAATTGCAATGCAGCGGTATGTGGTCACGAGGATGACGAGAAGGGATACGTTGATGTTGCCCCATGACTCTCATTAGCGGTCCAGCTGTGTTGATCAAGTTCTGGGCGACCACGGGACCGAAGATGTAGTCCACCCTGCTGGAGATGCCGTCCTGGCCAAACCACGTGCCCTCCACACGGTCCCGAACCCCCAGCACCACGAAGCCGAACTCCTCCATCAGTTCTCTAACTAACTGCCCAGCGCCTCCCACGAGATTTTCACGAGTGGCCAGATGCGATGGGATAACAGTGGTGTCACAACTCTGCCACCGACCATCAGAACACACCATGCCGATGCCATCATTCAAATCCATACTTATCAGTGGCATGGTACGTGATGATCGCGATATATCAACTAAAAGACCACGGAGCCACGAGACCAGCCTGTTCGTCGCTGCAAAGTAGTGCGGGCGGCCAGCTCGTCCCCGTGGTCGAGGAGGAAAGTAAACTCCAGCAACTGTAAAATCCAAACCAGTTCGCTTGAGGCGAAGTCCAAAGGCGCGGCCAGCAATCTCAGCGGGTGCTTGCCATTGTCGCACGATGTGATGTTCACGCAGCCCAGAACTAATCGTGAGACTAATACCAGCCGGCTTATTTGTATAGGCTCCAGGACTCCACCCAGCCCCAATGAGCAGTGTATTGTACAGCTTGCGTTTCTGAACAGCCATCCCAGGAAGTGCACGTACCTGCGTACCTATGAAAACACACGCGTGGAAGCTCTTGGCGGTCGCCATGATTATCTCCTCCTGACGATCTTTAGAATTCATACTCAATGGATTCCAATGCAGAAGTCGAAGCAAAGACATCGGTTAGCCGCGGCGGCTCTCCAACCGAAACCGCCCGCTGCTCAAGATTCGGTGAACGGAGTGTGTGGGTATGAAACATATGGAAGGTGGGGGGCGAGAGAGGGTGCACTCGCGCCACCTGAGGAGGAGGAGGAGGAGGAGGAGGAGGAGGAGGAGGAAGAGGAGACGGAGGAGTTGTGGCGCCGTGGGGACCCTGACCTCCGACGTCTCGTCTTTGTTCAACGCATGGGCCCTGGGGCCGTGGATCCCCTGTCGGGGGCTTGCCGCGGCACCACGGAGGGCATCGGCCATCGACACTCTCCATGCCCCACACCCCATCGAAGCCGCGGGTGCAAAATTGGAGGTCGACTCGGTCGGCAGTATTCGAGATGGAGCGAAAGGCACAGATAGAAAGAGGGCCTCGATGCACGAGCATGCAGAGCCGACGGAGGCAGGGAGAACCATGCATGCATACGCATCACGCCGTGTTCGCATATTAGACCAGACAAGCACCGCAAGGCCAGCTCGCGTTCTGTGGATGCATATTCTTGCTCGTCTTCCACATCCTCCCCCTCATCGTATTCCAGATTATTCTCTCTTTACGCTGGCCCGCTTCTGGTATTTTGGGTACGTGTACTCGTGGCACCTCTTGACAGTACCATGCGTCGATGCCGAGGTGCTGGAAAGGTTGGTCGGCAAGGTGGCGCAGAAGGAATCCCTCTCCGACGTCGTCTCTTACTGCCCTACACCACAAAACTCAACATCACAGTCGTCACCAATGAGATGCAGCCGCGATTAATCATTACCTCAATGTTGTCCCCTTGGAGGCCACCTGGGCTTCTGGAGGCGTTCAGAAGCCCAGGAAGGCCCCCAAAAGCCAAAAGCCTCGATCATCGATCCTCATCCTTCTCCTCATCCTGGGCATGATCTCCCCGCCCCGCCCTTTTCGGATCCCCTCCTAGCCCTTGGTCTCACCCACCCCTCCCCTGAAACTGTGCGTCTTGTGATGTGGTTCCATGTTCGCCCACCATGACAGGAAGGATCACCCGACCCCCTTCTCCCAGCAGGCCACCGAGAGCCGGGATCGAGCTGCCCTCCAAGCCGTCGCGCTGCCCCTCGGGCGCAAAGCCCGCCGCAGGTCGCAGCCGTAGGCGCTCATCGAACACCTGTTCCCCCCCAGACGATCCAGCCTCCCTCGGGAGGAGGAGGGAGGAGGAGGGGTAATCCTTGCCCGGGCGAGCCAGTGCCCTGGAGGGGCCATGCGCTCGGCGCTGGAGGGCACGGGCGGCCCGCGAGGCAGGTCGCTGCCCGCTTCGGCTCCTCCCCTTGGGCGCTGCTGGACGCGACCCCGGACCGAGGTGCCCCCAGGGTCTGGACTCCCCGGAAGCGACTCGAGCCACGAAGCGCGATCGAACCATCAGCGAACGTTCGCAAGTAGCGTCTGCCGAATCCGCCATTTGCGGCGCAGCCGAGCGGCCGCTCAGCTGGGCAGCCGCTGGCGGCGCCCCCCGCCCCAGAGCGCCCCCCCTACGAAAACAGCTCCGAGGCCCCCTTCTTCCACAGGCCGAGCGCGTCGACGAAGGACGATCACGCCCCGCCAAAGGGGGAACCGAGCGGCGGTGCTCGGGCCTGCAGGAGGGGAGTCCCCCTGGTTCTCTCCGACGGCGCCGTCGGAGTAGATGGAATCGGGGGATCGCGCCGCTTCGCCGATGTATCGGCGATGCGGCTTGATGTGGAGCCCGATGTTCACCACGCCGACGTCGCCGATGCATGGCTGACATCGCCGATGCATCGCCGATGTATCGATGATACGTCAGCGATGCGGCGCAATCCTCCGACCCTATCTATTCAGACCCCATCTAGGAGGCCTCTAGTCTCCGCATGCTCAAAGAAAGCGGGCGGTGGAAGTACGTGTCGCCCAGTCGTCGACCTTTGTCCTTCTTCCCCTGCTCCACGCATGGGCTGCATACGCTCGTTGCCCGTATTTTGTTCGGCCCATCCCGCCATTGTGTGTGGGATGTGGTTCAGAGGCCTCTTGGATGCTTCTCGGGGTCTCGTGGAATGCCTCTCGGGGGACTCATGGGCGCATCTTGGCAGTCTCTAGGACCATTCTGGTACAAGAGGGCTTGCGTGTTCACTTCGTGTTCTCCCTGACGGGGGCCGGAAGCATGAGTAACATGCTTGTTTTAGATTGCCAAGCAAAAAAGGTTTCGCGAAGAATCGGGCGGGCATCCCCGAGAGCGCGGGGAAGAGCCCACACATCGGGGGTCTGGCCCATGAAGAGCACGCACACGACTCAACACAAGGAACTCTAGCAGACCCGAGGACACTCCACTGAGGGCCTCGCGGTGCGGCGGCGGTCCGGCACAGAGATGAGCAGATGGAGGGCGGGGAGCGAGGGGGTTGGGCGGGTGGTAATGGGGTGTAGCCTACAAGTGGGGTGGAGAAGAGGGCCCTGAAGGGGCCCTGTAGGGCATCTTTCGGGCCCCTGCTGACTACAAAGGCCTGGTATCGCTCGGACGTGTGCACTTTTTCTCGGCGGGGACTATTCAGGAGCATCCCGGATCATCCTGCGAACAAAACCACGCACGAAACCGAGAAAAGCACAGGGACGTCCGAGCGATGGCCAGAAGGGGCCTTGCAGGGCTCCTTCAGGGCCTGCTTCCTCACCCCCCGTGCAGGCCACTCCCCGCTACAACCCTCCCAAGGGGGAGGGGGAATTTTTGTCAGGGGGGGGAAAAAACACGCAGACACAATGACTCGTCGATTCCCCAGAAAATGGGAGAAACTACGTATGGGAAGTGGGGGGGGAGACAGAGACCCAGGAAATATGGGGGAAAGATGGGGGATCTGGTTACTTGCGTCTACTCATCTGCGTGTCCCTGGGCCCCTTCGCTTTGTTCCGTCGCGGCGCGGCGGCGGTGATCCGCGCGCGCACTCGAGCTGGTCGGGAGCGGGCGAACGAATGGTCCGAGGAGGAGGAGGAGGAGGAGGAGGAGGAGGAGGAGGAGGAGGAAAAGGGGAAGGAGGAAGAGGAGGAGGAGGAGGAGGAGGAGGGGGGGAGGAGGAGGGGGCGGAGGGCGGCCGCAGAGCCGGGAGAGAGAGAGAGGGCGGGCACTCACGGCACGCAGACCAGGGGAGGCGGAGCAGGCAAAAGGACGAGGCCTCCTCCCGCG